TATTATCTTCCTCGCTTTGTTCAATTAATTTGCATATACTGTACTTGTTTTCAATAGTTTTTTTTTTTTTTTTAATTTGTTTAGGCCAAGAAGCTGACATAGCACTGAACTAGTCACAAAAAGGTGAATACTTTAGAGTTATGATATCGTTTATGGCGTCTGCATATTTGAATTATGTTTACAATTTAAGGAGTTTGTCAATGTGTTATTGATCACTAATCTTGTTGTCAGAAAAACTTCCATGGTGCTTAGTTTAAGGATAAGAAGGATTTTGATGTAATAATCTGGTCGCTTGACTAGACTTTGTGAATCCAATTTATGGACTCTTTTTGGTGTTTAATGAATCACCTCTTCCTCTCTTACTCATAATGGTCTATATGCAAAATACAATCAAGTATGTTCCTAGGTCTACCAAAGACAAGAATTGGTCTGACAAATTTGGGGTAGTAAGATTACAATCACCCTAGTCTACCATACGTATATATCATACGAAAAATCTAAAAGTATAAATTAAGAAGAAACACATCGTTTAAGAGATTTAATCGGGTAAATCTTCTGATGGCAACCCCTATTAACAACTAAAGACAATCAAACTTGAGACCTTTAGAATAATACATTTAAGAGTCTTTATCGCCTCACCGGTCATTTAAGGGTAGTTGCCAATAAACATCCTTGGTAATTCTTTTTTTTTTTTACATTTGTCTTTCTTAGAAGAAAAATGCTATCCTTACTCACTTCTCTTACTCACTTTCTCTCACTCGCTTTTGTTAAAATGACATATAGTACTCGTACTATGTGTATAATACCCGTACTATGCGTATGGTATCTGTACTATGCTATATATTTACAAAAGTGAGTAAGATTAGCATTACTCTTCTTAGAAAGTTCTGCAGCCCATGCTCTAGTACCGGAGTACTCACCTCCCACGGCCCAAGCCCAAGCCCATGATGCTGAGTTACCAATGCAAGCCCAATCAAAATATTAACTGAAGTCCACCCAAAAAAACTGACATTAATATCCAGAAATTTTTACAACTGCTGATTCTAGCTGGAGTTTTAAACACAAGCCAAGCTGGACTTCTTAACACTCTCGGGATAATGTTAACTAATTTGCAGTTTCATTAACTGACGCTTCATTTTCTTTTATACATGATGCTTAACATACAAGTCAATGGAAGTCTGCAAATTGCTGTTTAAGAAAAAGTGGCTTTGTTTGGACTCTGTATCGTGTAATCGCAGCGTCGTATGGGCTATTGTAAGTTTCTCAAGGCTTAAGCACCAGACACATTGTACATTTATCCAGATAAAAACTAAGAATTTTCAGTTAAGGTGCATCGGATAATGATCCATTTCCAACCAATTCAACAACACAACATAACACAAATCCAAGCAAAATTCGGCCAACACAAATATTAGAGTTTAAATCACTTACTTGCAATTTTTAGAACAAGACAAGTTGAAACTCTTCAAGCATAAAGGATTTACTCTGCTAACTTGAATTGATTCACCACCAAATCTCTTTGCAAAGACTTGAATAAAGAATGCACAAACAAAAAACACATAAGTTCTCTCAAATGGATAAACCAATTTTTATATATTTTATAAGCTGATTGTTATAATGAGATAGTTGTCTTTATATAAGCAAATACAAAGGTAAACAAGTAATTGACAAATACATTAAAATGAAATAAACTTAACTAATATTACAAGTTATTCATTCAAAAAGCAAGGTCATGCCTATTTAATGCAAAAGAGACATGATTCCCTAATCTTAGGATCTATGTCTTTAACCACCCCTTTAATTGAAATAAGCTTCCTTTATTTGATCAAAACTTAATCAATGAGCCTAATTAAGTCTACTAATAAGGGTGTAAGATTTTGGGCCCTGAGAATCATGCAAATGGATCCAATAAAGGTTCATGTGTATCTTTCCCTTTGGAATGAGACTTGGGCCCGGTTGAACCACTTCAACACTTGGGCTTCTTTCTTTGTAAGCTTGAGCTTCTCTTGTTGAGCTTGGGCTTGGAATGGTTTGGGCCGAAATATTTGGACTTTTTCCCTCCTTGGAACTTGCTTGGGCCAAATTTTCTCTATTGCATTCCACATTCTACAATCCAAGTGTTTTAGGACTTTAAGTGAAATTCTTCAATTCAACCAAATTAGCAAATGTTTTAGAACTTGTAATTCATTATCCACTCATGTTTACAAGTGTTTTAAGACTTGTAAACGTGGCCGTCGCACCTAATGATTGTGATATCTTATTAAGTTAATCAATGAAGTGGTTAATATATTATTGATTTGCATATTATTGTTCAGTAATATCCCATATATAGGTTGCTGCCAGGTTAAATTAATGGTATAAATATCACAAAGAAGTAAATATATGGGGATCTTATTCTGTAGGCAAGCCCTCAGTTTCAAAATCTGCTGATTTCTGTTCTTCAATCTGCTGATTTCTGTTCTTCAATCAATTCTCTATGATGAAAATGTATAGGGTCGTGAAAATTGTTCTTCTTCTTGTTTTAATCTGGTTGGTGGCATCGGCAGTTTGTCAATTGTCAACGTTACGATTATGACACTCTGAAACTATCTCTTCAATGGCCTATTGCTCATTGCAAATCACCAGTACCTGAGAATTTCAAGATTCATAGTTTATGACATTTTAAAAGGGGCGTAATAAGGGGACTATTGTATTCCATTGATTTGAGCTTACTATAGACAATTCAATTATTAATTGAACAAAATACTCACCCTATATACCCACTTCCTCGAGAGTTACGTTCTTACGTATTGTCCTATCCTACCCATTTCCTACGGCAGGGTTCAAATTTGTCTCTTACACTTTATTCGAACACAGTATTTAATTATTGGAAATGAATCAAGAGTATCAATGTGGAATGTTACAATTCTCTTACTTGTAACATGTTATATATTATTATTATAACCGTTAAATATTGAAATAAAACGAGTAGTTGACGTGTTATTGATCAATATTCATGTTGCCATAAATTAATCTGTCTTATGAAATGTGTTTGATCAATAACATATATGCATTAAATTCTTTAGGTTTATTTTATCAAATATTATTGTTTCTAACTTTCAATTAATTTGCACATTTAAAGAATTTGTAAGTTTTTTTTTCTTTTTTTTTCTTTTTTTTTTTTAAGAAAATACATGTGATGATGCCAATGTGCACAACGTGCTTGATTAATAATTTAATATGATAAATGGAGATAAAAGAGAGAGAGAGAGAGAGAGAGAGAGAGAGAAGTGTAAATTAATGAATGGGGTTTAAAAATTTTAATGAGGTAAATTTAGAAGTAAGGTTTATTAAGATAAATTATGGAGGACAATAGCATCATTCGTGTCTTATTATTGTAATAATATATTAGAATTGGGTTAATAAATATCGTATTGAATTCAAATAGTTATATATATATCTATATACACACCATAGTTGACATGTGAAATATTGACATATTGATTTTTTTTTAACTAAGGTGTTCGAACCAGCTTATCTCACTTCGACCAATCCTTTGGGAAAGCTATCTTACAACAACCCATTGTTATGGCCTCCCAAATAAATCATGGGAAAATATACTACGTTTGTGTTTAGTAGAGAATTGAAACCTGAGACTATGGGTTGAAAGTTAAAACCATGCACAGCCCCTAATTGATATATTAATTTATTCTTTTCTATAATCAAATTTCTTTGAGCATTTTGTGAAACCATTTTTTTTTTTTTTCTTTAAATTAAGGCTAATATAAGATAGATATTCTAACCCCATCTTTAATTAGAATAATATAATATTCACATATTTTTTCTTCATATCATTTTCTTATCTTTACCATATTAAAGGAGATGCTTTCATCTTTTGATTTTAAATTTTAATTTTAAAACATTTTGACTTGAATTTTCATCCATTCATTTTATCTTATCTAACATGACACTTTCATTTTGGAATTTAATGACCACTTGATTAGATAAATTAATCTTTAAAAAATTTCAAGTTGAAAAATCTTATCCAAATCCAATATATATATATATAATCCAAAATTCTGACGTTAAACCTGATTTAAATCCTGACGTATTACCCTAAACTATTCAATAAGCATGCCTTGTACTCTTCTCTTTCGCTTTCATTATTACCAGTTTGTTCATCTGTATCTATACTCCATCAATAGTTCAACTTTCCTTTTCATTATTCCTCTATATTTTTTTCCATGAAAGCAAACTGATCTTGAAAGTTCAATCCCTCACGCAACTTCCCCACATCTTCCTTTTGACAAATCCTCCAAGTTCGGCTGGTTAAATTAATTAATTAATTGAAATGTGTGTTTGAACTTGACCTTTTCGTTAATGGCAACGTGCCCCCTCAGGAACTCCACAACCAGTTGACTGTAATTTGATATTATTAGCCATGGCAGTTAAGGTTAGTTGATGGTTTTAAGCAAATATATATATACATATGCAGATATGCTTAAAACCATCAACTAACCTTAACTGTAATGACTAATATATATATATATGCTTTTGTCAAATCTACTAAGTTTTGGATAGGATCCAACTAAGCAAATCGACTTATATATTGTTAAAACATAGGTGAAAGGTTAGTCTAAGTACTAGTACATTTGTTAAAGACGATCATCTTAGAATTTATAATGTATAGATCAAGGGTCGGTAGACTCCTGGTTTTGTCTTTAAGTCGTAAGAGAGACAATTATCAAGTTTACTCAGAAAAAAAAAAAATAAAAAAATAATGGCCTCCTTTTATGTGAAGCACAATGCAACTATGCAAGGACCCGGCGCTAGTGTTCTTAGTATAAGCCAACGTGGAATTGCGTTGGCCCTTAAATGGCAATACCCTAAACACCACCATGTTAGAGCACAGATAATTCTCTGACTCACTTATCTCACCCGGCAGAAGTTCTTGACATAGATTTTGAGTGCCAGGATACTAATGGAATTTCGAGGTGGAGTGCGTTGTGAAATGAGCTTCACCAGAAAACAAAATTCAAAAATCAAAGATAACTACTAGTTGCTAGCTTTTAATCCACCATTTACATATTTTAGGACGTCCACACTTGATAATTTTCATCAAGTATGACAAATAGCTGACAAAGTATAAATTCTAAGCTAAGTTTTCTTTCTTGACGAGCAAGTGAAAGTCTCTAATAGTATTCTTGTCCATGACTTTCCAACCACTAATTTGTATGAATGTCATACGTCAATTAGCATACAAAATTTTCCAAGTTTGGCTCTTTCCTGGTGAGTTCAGTATTCATCAGTTATCAGTACATATCTAAGTTTATGTATATAATATTACCAGTTATCTAGGAGAAACATTAACTTGCCAGACCTCCTCTAGATGAGTTAATTTATAAGTCATGGAGAAATAAATTTTTCAGTCTTGGAATATATGGCTTTATTAGCATCCTGTTGGCTTATCATTGAATTACTCATCATTCCGGATGGATTTGTGAAGTGGTTTTATTTGAGCTTCTATATCCATCCGATTTTTCTCTTCTTTTGCCAAATTTTTCTCTGGCTCAAGTTGCTAAACAAATGGATTCTAGTTGTGTTTTTTTATCCTCTCAGAATCATTCGTTTTGTGGGTTTGTTTCTTTTCAGGTTTCTCAGAGATTTTGTACTCATCTTTGTCTTCAGGTTTTCGAGATCGATGAGTAGCACTAGTACTAATGTTGAAGTTACGGAAGAGGCCTTGGATGAGAATAAATCTTTGGTTGCTACACAAATTTGTAACCAAAATCAAGCTGGTCTTTCATATAGTTGTTCAAGTGGAGCAAAAATACAAGCTTATTGCAAGGTAAAATTATTAGAAGTTGAGAAAATTGACCTTGTAGAGGATGATGATTTTCAGGAAATTCCTGTTCTTGATCATGAAGAAGAGCGTATGGAAGAGCCAAGTTCTTGCCCCACAAATGATGTTGATTTAAATGATTCACCGTCTAGTGTTTTTAGCTGCAATTCACCTGCCAGAAGTTCAGACTTGAATCCTGAAAATCCACAATCAATTTGTATCTCCACTTCACCAGTTCTGGAAAGAGCAGTACCTCAGAGAGATGAAGATCGAGATTCTGCCGATGCATTCTACAAGAAGTACACCGAAAGGATGCGATGGTTCGACATACTGAATTCTGATAGAACATGTGGAATAAGTATGTATAATAAAGTACAAGTGAATATTCATCTCCATTTCCTTAATTTGATCAAGTTTTCATCTTTGTTAATTGTTTTTTTCTGCAGGTGCAGTCCTGAACAGGCAAGCGGGAACTCCAAGTCCTATTGAGAGCAACATTGATTCTGATCAGGATTTCGCAGTCCCGAACATTTCCTGGAGCAAACTGACCAAAAAGAGACTGTTGAAAAGCTTGGAGAGTGACTTTGAAATGGTATATGTTGCTCAATCATGTTTGTCCTGGGAGGCCCTCCATTATCAGTACACAAAAGTCAAGTCTCTTGCAGAATCCACCTCTCAGAATGGTGTATTTTCTGGAAATGTGTTTGGTGAGTTTCAGAAATTTCAAGTAGTGTTGGAGAGGTTCCTAGAGGATGAAAGATGTGAAGGCAAGAGGATTTGGAATTATGTTAGAGGAAGATTTGGCCTTAATAGCCTTCTTCAAGTTCCCCAGATCTCTGGTAACTATTAATCTTATTCATTGGAAACACATAATATAAATAAAATATTCTGAAAGGTCAAGCTTAGGATTCCTTCGAAATTAACCTCCTTATTTTATTATGAAAAAACACCAAGGTCCAACTAACCGTGTGATTTTGTCTCAAGGCAAAAGACCATGTAATTCATTTTCAAGAAAATTACTTTGGATTTTGGAATGCTTCCAAATAGGTACAAATAGGAATGACTATGCAATATATGTTATTTTATTTGTCTTTTTAATAAGCTAGATCAGCCTCACCTTAATGTTAGTCTAATTTGGTCCTTTAAGGTTTCTTAGAGGAGGAAAATGAAGATATGAAGACAGAAACAGTGAGTGTAAAAGAAGTTTCGAAGGCTATAGAGAAATGCATTCAAGCTTTTGGGATATTTGTAACAGTAGATAATTGTAACAAGAAGCCTTGGTGGAAACTCAAAACTTCATTAACATGGACTTATCCACCTGTGGAAGATCCCAAAGATTTACCGTTCTTACGTCATCTTACTCGAAAACTTCAAAAGGTAAAAACGATATGATCAAAACACATTTTCAAATATTAAAAATATTAATAGGACCTTTTTTCGGTTTGTTTCTTTTATAGAAGGAATTATGCTTGAAAGATTTACAAGGGAAGCAAAGGTGTTGGATCAAGAAAGTTGTGAACCACTTGGACGAATCTCAAAGAAAAGAAATGTTATTTACAATGATAGAACTGAAGCTTGTATCAAGAGTGATTCAGATGTCCGCAGTCTCCAATTCCCAACTCAAATGGTGTCAAGAGAAGCTAGACAACATTGAATTCAAAGAAGGAAAAGTTTCCAGGGCCTCTACATCTCCATTATTATTTCCACCATGAATCTCTCCTAAAAATAAAACCAAGCTGGTACAAAGGGAAGTTTTGTAAATTGTATTATAACTTTGTGCATATTTAATTAGGTAGGAGTGTTGGGGTTGGTGACCACTTCAACAATAGAGGTCGTAATTGGAGATCGCAACTCGTATGTCCAACGTACACAAGGGTTATGCTGTAAGATTTCTCTAAGTAATAAAAAAGAGTACATATATATTATGTTTTTAATCAATGAATGGACATGACACTTTATTGTAAATGATATTCAGAGTTAAATAACATTACATTATTGATCACTTTTAGAGATCGATTCAGTAGTAAAGTTCATATTACTTTCAAAGGATTCAATAATTTTTGGAAAAGTTATTATGAAAAGCTCCCTGAAATCACAAAAGCCGCAAACTTTTCAATAGAAAGAATAAAAAATAAAAGAAATAATTAGGTAACTTTGACTACAACCAACATGAAAATCCATCCACTCAACAAGAAGCTTGAATTTAAAAACCCATCAAAATCATTAAAGTAAAGCTTATCCTAAGTCCTAACTCATCTACCCCTCAAGTTTTTTTTTTTTAATTCTGCCTCCACGTTTTCAATTCATGGAAAATGACCTAATGTGGTCATTCTCAATTTTTGACATGCCTTATATATTTTCTTAATAGCCAAAAGGAATGAATTTTTTTCCAAAATTATCCAAATCTCTTATAACACTTTCATCCTTAGAGAGGGGCATTTGAAATATAGGGATGAAAGTGTGATTTTTAGAAGTAATTGGATTGGAAGTTGCTCTATACCAAAATACAAATAACCCATATCTTGATTCTTGAGCTACAAGAGTGGAGCTACTTACATGTGTTCTGATAAACACCTACTTGTGACTTGAGACTAGAGACTTGTGATTTGTCTCCAAAATTTCAATTCAATTTGAACCTCAAAAATCCCTCTATGATTTCCCTATCTTTGGGACTCATTTCAACACACATCCACAAAAATTTCATTTTTCCTCTTTCTCTGTCCATGGTTTCTCCTATTTTGTTGACACTACTAGAACCTCCAATCATTGATCACTCACTTGTGTCTCCTCCAAATCTCTCAATTTCCTCATTTGGGTTTCTTAATCTTGTAGTTTTCTCCACTGGGTCGATCTCATTTTTCAGTAGAATTGTTTCTACATCTTGAAAAAAAATAGTTAAGTTGTATATATTTACTCTGTTTCTTCGTTGAGGCGTTTTATCGAACACTTCCATGGCCTCTATTGGGTCTCTTCCTTTTGTTATAGAAACTGGGGCAGAAAGTTCTGTCCTTGTTCATAGCAGAAGGCAACATCGACCCAGTTCTGTTTTTGCCACATTTAGGCCAAGAAAGTCCCCCGCTTTCGCGGTGTTTAATTATTCAATATGTGGTTTTTCTTTGTGTTCTGATAAAAGAGGACATTTATGGAGGATTAAGCATGTGAAAGCAACGGGAAGAGACTCTTTGGAAGGTGAAGGTGGTAATGAATCCGAGGATTCACTTGAGGCCACCATTGAGAAAAGCAAGAAGGTTCTTTCTATGCAAAGACACCTTCTTCAACAGGTCTTTTATTTTATATTATTTTTTATAATTGTTGTTTGAGTAATCTGTGTTGATTTGAGTGGAAATTTATGTGTGTGTTGTTTTTCTCTTTATTTGAATTTTTTTCTAGTTGATTGTAAAACTTCACTTTTTTGAGTTTGGGGACTGTGTTCGTTGGCCTCAGAAATGGACATGTTTGTACCTTGAATGCAAATGATATAAGAAATCAATGGAAATGTGCATGCTGTACAATTGCTGTGGAAGCTTAATTACAAGTTGCATAAAGTGCTACTCTAACATGAGCGCCAGAGAGTTTAAACTTTTTTCATTAAAATTTTGATTGCATATAGATTTCTTTGTCTGTGCTGCCAGAGAATCAAAATTTGGCCGCTTCCTGACATGGTTAGCATCTGTTTAGTAAGAATATAAATCTGGATACTGTAATTATTGTGTCTTTTGCAGATTGCTGAAAGAAGGAAATTGGTATCATCCATTAAAAGTAGCATTGCTGATTCAGAAGAAAGTGAAGTTACTAATGAACGAAGGGATAACTCTTTTCCAGATTTGGATCTCACTTCAACGAGTGGTAGCAATGTTCTTGAAGACCAAAATGGTAGCCTTCTTTCAAGCAGACATGCTAACTCAACTGCCAATGAGGTACCAGAATTCGTCTCTTCAGCTGTTACCAGAGGTTCTGATGCAGGTGGGAAGGCATCTAGAAAAAGTTTGTCTCGTAAAGAGCCATCCTTTAATATAGATTCTCCCAAACAATTGAAAGGCACTGATACAGGGTCAGCGAGGTCCAATGAACAGCCATCTTTTCTTGCACATACCTCTGAAATTTCTAGTCAGAAGGATGAAGAGTATGAAGATATGAAAGGTCCAAGTTTACAAGGGCTTACCAGTGAGACAAGTGATCATGTCACTAAAGATGTGAAAGCCCCTTCATTGGCTGGAGCAAAAACCATGCCCGACAAGTTGAAAGACACTAAGTCAGGGGCAGCTCGGTCCGGTGAACTGCCATCTTTTCTTCAGCTTATTGCAGAAAGTTCCCTCCCTAAGGATGAAGAGCATAGAGATTCAAAGGGTTCAAGTTCACAAGCCAGTGAGGCCAGTGGGGCAACTGATTCAGCTATTGAAGATGCAAAACCCCCTCCATTGGCTGGAGCAAATGTAATGAACATTATATTGGTAGCTGCAGAATGTGCTCCATGGTCTAAGACAGGTATATTAATTTTTACATCAGAAGGAAATACCATTTACTTGAAATTTCTTGATGTGTCTTTGTCCAAGTATTTCTTCAATGAGGAAAAGAACAGAGAGTTGTAGAATAATAAATGGGGGGAAAAACAGGACAAAAGAAAACAGTAGGAATTATCTTATTCCAGTCAAATAGTCCGAACCTCTTGAATATCTATGTTATTAATATCTCTACCGCAGCCACTTGGTAAATGTGGAGGGAAGCAAGATAAATGGTTGATTCTACTCTTCTAAATAAACTAAGTTGTCGAATTAATTTTATGCTTGTGTGCACTGTTATAGTGTTACTGAAAAATGTCTTTCCTTTTATTTGGTAAAAGCATTTTTTTTTTTAATAAATTGGAACTCTCTTTTTTATTTAAGAGAAGTTCCTGGTTTGACGTCAATAACATTGAAGTTGATGATAACTGAATTTTCCATATCCATAAAGCTAAAATATAAATCATTTCCTGTTTCAAGTTGTTGCTAGTGAATAAGTGCTCTATTGACCGGAGCTCTTCAATGGGTTGATCTCTTGGCTGGTTTGATTAGTCCAGCTGTTTACTATCCATGTCAGTGCCTCACATGCTGGATATCATACAGGATGTATCAAGTTTTGTGAAAGATAGCTCTGGCTTGTTACACTACAAAATGTTTGATGTATCTTTTTCTTTTGTTATTAATGAGATTGAACGGGTTATTCTTTTGTACTTTCAAGCATTCAAAGACTAGATAATAATTTTTGCTTGTGTTTGCACGTTGTCCAATGCATGCATGCATGAATTTTAGCTTGTGTGTGCTTGTATATGATTGAGTTTATAACCTTTTGTATGTTCTCCAAAGACTGATATATGGAGAGTTCTGATAGGTGGGCTTGGAGATGTTGCTGGGGCTTTACCAAAGGCTTTGGCCCGGCGTGGACACAGGGTCATGGTAATGTTATACTTATTTTAATGTGATCAACTTAACATGGAAGTTATACAATAAGTGATAAAGATTTTTCTGAAAAGTTTTCTTTGTTACACAGAAAAGAAATTAACTGGAAAATTTTGGAAATTATAGGCTTGCAGATTTTGGTGACATTGAAATGTCTGTTATGCATCTAGTGAATCTGGCCGTGCACTTTTTTATTTTGTATTCAGTCAACTCAATAGCATCTAGGTGTTACTATATTTTCTGTAATCATGATGAAAATATAGATATTTAAGGATTTTCAGACAGCTTGTATTGGCTGTGTAATTTATTTGCATTGCTAAGGCTGCTAATAATTCATGAGTTTCGTTTGTTTTGTTGTGCCTTGTTTTGTTTTTGGACTAAGAAAGAATAAAATTGTATTATGTCTTGCTTTTTGACTTCATTTTCTCTCTTTTTTTCTTAGGTTGTGGCACCACGTTATGCCGATTATGCTGAAGGCCAAGATTCTGGAGTCCGGAAAAGGTATAAGGTGGATGGCCAGGTAGGCAGCAGATGATGATTTAAGTCTTTTACTTAATTGCTATCTGACACTGGTAACAGTAACTTCATTCCACAGCAATTGCTTGACAATGTGATACATTGTAGGATATGGAAGTAACATATTACCAGGCCTATATTGATGGTGTGGATTTTGTTTTCATTGATGGTCCTCTGTTTCGTCACAAACAGAATGATATTTATGGAGGAAGTCGGGAGGTAAGATATCCTTTCTTACATAATTACTCTACTGGTCTGCCCTTCTTAAGTGGGTTGAACAATTTCTTACTGACGAATGATCACTCTTAATTTGGGTTTTAATTGTCTCCTTTTTTCCATTGTAGGTGTGTACTCTTTTTTGTCTGCTTGTTATCCTCATATTTAACTTTATGATTAGTTGATGTTATTAGAATGTCATAGTGTTCCTTAGATTATGATCTACAAGCATTTTAACTCTTACACATCTTTAGTTTTATGGTGCAGGATATTTTAAAACGCATGGTATTGCTTTGCAAGGCAGCTGTTGAGGTACAACTCTAGACTATGCCTTAAAATATAATTTGAAAATTTGAATGAATGCCCATCGAGTTTCAAGGTTTTGGGATATCCTGAAGAACATTTTCCATAACAAATGTTAAAATCAGACATGCTGTCAAAAGAGATATATCAAGGCCAGTGGGTAATATGTTGGCCATACTCTTTAATGCAAACTGCATCTGGAAGGGGATTGAAGGGAAAACATTGGAGTTCAATTGTTGTAGGCTCATGGTTAGTCATTGAAATTTTGAATGAATGCCCATCAATTTTTGTTGGATGATGAGACTTTCCTCTTGGAGCTGATGCTGGAAACATCTGCTATACTGACTCTTCTTAGGAACTTGTAAAATACATATAGAAATCATCTCATATGGTCCACATGAGAGGTCCTGTAACTTTTGTTGCATATTGTAGAAACAGAAGTATTGATTAGACATAGTATGTTGTGAGTTAGTTGTGCAGTGGTATTCAAATTGTTGCTTGAGCTAGGGATGGCGAGTCGTGTTACTCACACAAAGCTAGGATGGTGTTATATAAACTAATTGCTTATAATTTTTATGTTGGTATGTTTGAGGCCATCAACATTCGTTACTTAAAATAGGAAGTGTTGTACGAAGTACTGCATTGAGGAAAAGTACGATTATCCTAAGTTTTCCTGTTGTTATTGAATAATATATTACACCTTGTATGATAATTGCCCCATCACTCTCATGAACTAGAATTTTGTTAGACAAGCTTTTGGCCTTTAGCTATCAGCACAATTTGAGGCAATATTCCTTTTTCTTGTTTCTGCTTCCTCGTTGAGCAATGTTTCTATTTTAATAATAATAAATGTTTATCACATTATATGCTCAATTTTGTATAAAGAGACACTGGTGATCGTTAGGTACCTTGGTATGTTCCATGCGGTGGTGTCTGCTATGGAGATGGAAATTTGGTTTTCATTGCAAATGATTGGCATACCGCACTGCTTCCTGTGTATTTGAAGGCATACTATCGAGACAATGGTTTAATGACATATACAAGATCTGTGCTTGTTATTCATAACATAGCTCACCAGGTTTTTTCTCTATACATTGTCAATTCATTTTTTCATTTTATAGTTTTATATTGACTACAATCTATACTGTGTAAAAAGCATTAAAATCTGTCAACAGTGAACACTATTGGTTGAAAATGTTGACCGTTCTGTTTCAGCATTGGCTTACAATTTTGATAACCTGATTGAGGAATAAATTGGTTACAGAAGTATGCAAATATTTTGGAATCATTTTAGATGATAAGGTAAGGAAATGATGGAATTAACTGTTGCCTACATAAAAAAAATTTCTGATAAAAAAGAAATGATAAATGAGTAGCAACATTTCCTGATACAGGAATCATCATGCCCTTATAACTCATTTTGTTCCTTGAGGATCAAAGAGAAGCACTCAAATCCCTCTGGAAGAAATTTTATGTGCATTGATCTGCTTTAATTAATTAATTTTTCATTTATTGGTTTTTTTTTTTTTAAATGGTTTGTGCATGCTGACAGATCCAAGACTAATACTATTGAAAAGTGCAACATCTCTTGAAAAATTAATTGCATTTATAAAGTGAAACCATTCCACGAGATTGGGAAATTGCTGAATGTAAATCCAGAAGCACTAATTGATTTGCAAGATGATTCAGTTGTGGCCTTTAAGTTCATTATGATGGCAATAACTGCTTCTAATTCCAAGTTTTGAGTAGTCATTTCACCAAAAAGATGTTTATTATAATCCTCTAGTACTCTGATTTCACATGGATTTTAAATGCATTTTTCACTAGTTCGTATTAATAAATATGTTTTATCCAGGGTCGGGGGCCTGTGACAGATTTTTCCTATACGGGTCTGCCACCACATTACTTGGACCTTTTCAAACTTTATGACCCTGTTGGAGGTGAGCACTTAAATATCTTTGCAGCTGGTTTAAAGACAGCAGATCGTGTAGTCACTGTTAGTCATGGATATGCATGGGAGGTTAAAACTGTTGAAGGTGGTTGGGGTTTGCACAATATCATAAACGAGGTTGACTGGAAATTGAGTGGCATAGTGAATGGGATTGATGCAAAAGAGTGGAACCCAAGGCACGACGTCCACCTTACATCAGATGGTTACACTAATTACTCACTGGAGACACTGCAAACTGGCAAGCCGCGGTGCAAGGCAGCCTTACAGAGAGAGCTTGGTTTGCCTGTCCGTGAGGATGTCCCTCTGATAGGTTTCATTGGGAGGCTTGATCACCAAAAAGGTGTCGATATCATAGCTGAGGCAATTCCATGGATGATGGAGCAGGACGTGCAACTAGTCATGTTGGGTACTGGCAGAGCAGACTTAGAACAGATGCTGAGGAACTTCGAAAACCAGCACAAAGACAAAGTCAGGGGATGGGTTGGGTTTTCTGTGAAGACTGCTCACAGGATAACTGCAGGTGCCGACATTTTGCTAATGCCATCTAGATTTGAGCCTTGTGGATTGAACCAGCTCTATGCTATGAGTTATGGAACAATTCCAGTTGTTCATGCTGTTGGTGGATTGAGAGACACTGTGCAGCCTTTTGATCCATTCAATGAGTCAGGGCACGGTTGGACATTTGATAGCGCTGATGCAAGTAAGCTGATACATGCATTAGGAAATTGTTTATGGACTTATCGAGATTACAAAGAGAGTTGGGAAGGACTCCAGAGACGAGGGATGACGCAAGATCTCAGTTGGGACCATGCTGCAGAGAAGTATGAGGAGATCCTTGTCACTGCCAAGTACCAATGGTGAGGAGTCAGAGTTTGATGTCTGTAATTTTGACTCCGCAAATCTTGAGTAGTCTGGCAAAATTTGGTGCCCCCCAAACTTGAAGCGAGCAGTGGTTCACAGAAAAAATATGGTTTTACTTCAGTCTTTTAAGCTTTTTTAGGCTAGTTAAGGAGGCCTGGTTATTCCACTACAAGCCCTGCAACCTCTTTACCTTTTGATACATTTCAGTGTTATTAGCTTCATAATATGTAACAATTTTTATCATTTGTGGTTGTGATAAAAACTGTTGGTGTAAAATGCTATAAACTAGTGACAGATTGCATGGCTGGAATGTGGCTTTGTCCATACTCCATATTTTCTCTCTCAATGTTGTCAAAAGTTATTGTCTACTTAAAAACATTAACAATAAGAGCAAAACCCCAGAACTACCAGTGGATAACTCTGCATTGCATGTGCTTATCATGGTTCAACACAGCCATTAATGAATACTTTTGCCAGTTTTCTTGATTTCTACCGGCGGCTGAAAGCTATTCTGACTAGTGACCTTGACATCAATTTGTAAGGCTCAATAAAATATTAGCATTTTATGTCAACAAATCCTTCTTGTACATAAAACACTTTATTGCAGAGGCAACAATCTGTAGCTATGCTCTTTATTAAACAAGAAAAGTATTACCATTTTCCATTCTGTTTTCATAGCTTTTGCAAATTGAAAGTGTTGACCCAATAAAACCAACCGTGGAACCAGGAAACCACTAAATTATAGTCATATCCTGGGTTTCAATGTTCAAGGTGAGGTAATTGAGATGAAAATTTCAAGAAACAACCAGAGCTAATAATTCTTTTACTGATTTTATCAATCACAATAGATCATGGACATGACTCGCACCAATAAATCAATAGCAGATGCCAACAAATGTCAGAAAAAAAAAAAAGAGAAGACTTGAAACTGTCCCACGGAACAACTAAAAAAACGTGGGTATATGTAAAAATAACAGGACACCAAACACAAACCAACATGTATGAGAATGAGAAGGTAATTTACCAATACACTGACTCGCCNAATGTTCAAGGTGAGGTAATTGAGATGAAAATTTCAAGAAACAACCAGAGCTAATAATTCTTTTACTGATTTTATCAATCACAATAGATCATGGACATGACTCGCACCAATAAATCAATAGCAGATGCCAACAAATGTCAGAAAAAAAAAAAAAAGAGAAGACTTGAAACTGTCCCACGGAACAACTAAAAAAACGTGGGTATATGTAAAAATAACAGGACACCAAACACAAACCAACATGTATGAGAATGAGAAGGTAATTTACCAATACACTGACTCGCCGGGAGCTCTAAGTATATGAAAGTCTCCTTCCCCTGTCAAATTGCAGAAAGGAAAGTTGAAAACAGCCCTGCAAAGCCCTTAGCTAGGCAACCCTCAACGGCACAAGGAGACTTGGAGGAACCCAGTGGACTATTATGTTTAGCTATTTCCATGCAGTCATCACTGGCACTTTCAGGTGGATTATCTTCCCGGTCCTGAGGTCTCTGAGCAACTAACCTGCTTCTCTTGGGAGTTAACATGTGATTTAGGTCTGTGAAGTCAGGGAAACAATCCTCTGATGACTCCATTTCATCTGTTTGAAGGTCAGAAGACTTCCTCTTCAAACCAGGAAAATTCTTCAATCCTGTGGAATGATATCAGCGCCTTTTCTACTCTGTTGTGTAGAAGGTTGAAATTGTAAATAATAAGACTCAGTTAAATTTTCTTAAATAATTTACATACCAGGAAGAGGGTCCTCATATACATATAACTGGGACTCCAAAACACCACAGCTACAGAACAAGTTAGAACTTTCGTTAGATCCTGACACCCTGCAAGACAAAGATGCTTCACATTTTATCTGATCGCAATGGTAAGTGTTACAAAGGCAATGCATGGTGATAGCCAACATAATTTAAAACTAAAATTAATTCTTCCTCCCAGTGTTATGCATGGCCAGGATGATACTTTTTAGTTTCTACAACTTTTTGAAATTACAGTGAGTTCAAATTCGCTCAACCCTCCAAAGAGGAGATATCTAGGAAACTTTTGAGGTTGAATTAATATCTAAAGACATTCCTACATTTGATTTGAGTAAACCATAAAAACTGCATTTGCATGAAATGATGACTCTCTCCTATTTCCACTTGTATTATACTATGGTCGGGAGATACTTAAATTACAATGGACGAAATAAGGATGGGTTTGTGACAAAAGATTGAAATAAAATAAACAATAGCAACAGAAAAGGAACATCTTGAATTCCATGAAATCTAACCTGTACATATGCTCCACAAAGTCATCTATTAGAACAGGCCAAGCACCTGCATAAATATAAATAATCAACAAAATATAAGCGTTACCTCAGAGAATGATAGGCAGCCAAGCTCCAAGTCAAATATGTTTCACTCAGAAACACCTCACATTAAATTAAAGCAAAAGCCTAAGATGACTGACAATAATTTTGATGTAAGATTCAAGATTTTCCAAGCCACCTCTAATGTGGGCTAAGAACACAAGAGGCTGATAATCTCATAGTTTAACATGCCAGGTTTTCCCAAAAACCTAATAGTTTGGGCTGTGATATAAAAGATAAAAACATGAATCCGTATATGAGAAGGTGAATTCATCTACCATGACCTACATAACATGGCTCAGTTTACAGATATATATGTGGAGATATTAATACCTTCAGGATCATACCCTTCCAGATTTTCATGTACACAACGACTGAATGCTAAAACTTGCTGCCAAGTATCCTCAGAGATGTTGTGTCGCTGATTTTTCTACAAGGAGTACAAAAGGTTAGGTGCTTTAAGGAATGCATAAATATTCTGAAGTTATATTTTCAAAGTTAAGTAGTGGCATGCTGACATCTACTTTGTGCTCAACAAGTGAGAAAACCATTGTCTCAAGTCACGGATATTGACATACTATATGTAACCATATTTACTAAATAAAAAAATATATATATAAGCATATTTTAAGCACACAACCCAACAAAACATAAAGAACAATAGATAAAAGAAACCCCAAAAACTACGTGTTTTTAGAATACAAACAAGTTGCTTCATATAATAATGTGCTTAATGGAATGATCAATTAGGCTATTGAAGAAGCATTCCAACCATGAAGCAAAGGTTTTGTGCCTAACAGAAGCAGACAATCTAGTGACTTTTTGGCATGAAATTCATAACTGAATAGCATAAACCAAAAACTCTAGTTCTAGCCGCCTTCCCCGTTTTTAACTAAACTGATAATTCTACATAATATCTATCAAAACAAAAGATCATGACAGATATCAAGCCCTAGTTGGCTTAAATTCAGTCATATACCTCAACAAAGTCACACCACTGATTAAGCAAGCGAAACCTGCCAGCTAAAACTAACCTCCAGCCAGTAACTGCCCTGCTTACAGCTGTAAATCATTTCAACAAAAACAAAGGGTCAACAAGACCCCAAACAAAGTTCATTATAAGTTTTATAACAATAGCCCATATATCATAAATTGTTATTCAATGGTAAAACTGCTAGAAACCATTATGTTAGCACAAAATATATGACAAAACTTACTGATATTCTTTTGACCATTCTCACGGCACATGAAGAAAACAAAATCATAGAAGCGTGAAAATTTAGAAAAGTCAGCCTGTGAAAGTAAAATGTGAAAGTTAGAACCAGAATATGCCAACCTAATAAAGGAGACATGCAGAATACACCACAAAAAACAAATATAAGAACATTTCACAAAAGAGTAATACTATTTTATTTTTATTATCACTAAGCAAATACTAAATTTCTTTTCAGTTTAAGGACTCCAAGAGATGGAAAGTTACCATCAAGTCCAGCTGTGACATGAGCTTGTAAAGCTCTTCAAAGACCAAAATCCTGTCAAAGAAACGCCATAAAAGATTAAAAATATTTTAATGATGCAAAACTTCATAATAAGTTAGCATGCATTCGAAATCTGGATACTGAAAAATAATACAGGATATCAGTCCAATGTGCATATAGCATGTCTAAATGGGCAAGTAGGGGAAAATGGAACTAAAGCAGGTCAGAACCACTGCACAACTTGAACAACATGTAGCATTTGAACTCTAGAAAATTAAGGTGATAAATTCCAGAAATTGCAGGATGGCTGTTGAGGCATCTTGGCAAATCAAACCTCGTTAGAGCCTTACCGTATTTCCACTAGCAATTCCTCAAACCAATTTACCAGGTAAGGATCGTCTGGGGGCAGACAGTAACTATCAAAGTCAAAATACTAAATAACTAGAGAAAGTTCAAAGATTATATCACTAACTCTGAATTTTAACATTCAAATTCCTTCAAAATAGAGGAAGAAAGCATACAATTCACTTTTTCATTCCCATGCTTCATACTATCCATAATGATCATCTTTTCAAGCAAAAAATGGTCAAATTGCATTAGCAGATTATATGTATACCCTGTATGTACTGCTGACTCAACCAAGTTCAGAAGCTCAGATAATGCCTCCCTTGAAAAATTAGCTTTTTTTAACTCTTCATCTTGTCTAAAACCTTCATCTCCATGAACATTCACAGCTTGAGATTTAATGTCTGCAAGAAAATTTAAAAATCAGCCAAATGACAGCTTTCTTATCTTAAGAAAGTGCAAACTACAGAACACTTGTTATTTCTTCTTCAATTTCTAAGTCAAATTCAATCATATAAAACAATCCTTTCTATACTCTTCTTCCAAAACAACCATGAACCATCAAAATGGCTGGCTTTTGCAAAGAAACCCAACATGATATGGAATATGACTCATGCACTCCATTACTGAAACTAATTAAAGCAGCAAGAATCCAAACTCTAAACCCCATCCCTCATAAGCCCAAATAACAATTATTATCCCATCCCATTACATTTCAATAATTTCATCATCAATACTAAATTCGAGCAATTACCAAACAACCCAATTGGAAAAACTAAAAACCCGTCTAAAGAATGAACCAATATCTAATCTTGACCATTAAAACACACACAAAGACACACAACATCATAATTAAAGCCAAAGAATACAAAACATAAACAAAGATAAAAAAAAAAAAAGAAAGAAATGAAAACTTTACTATAATTAACCAAATTAAAAACTAAAAATTAAAAACCCAAATTATATTCAGAAAACAGAAGTACTAAAAAGCACCAAATCCAAGAAACCAAAATAAATTGAGTGAAAATTCATTAATTTACCACAATATCGTCGGTAAATCTCCAAGATATTGAACAGGCTACCGACCGGAGTTGAATCCATGGATTCCTTATTGGAGCTCCACCCAGATAGGGTTCAGCTCAACTCTTTCTGTGAATGAATTTTATCCTAAACAATTAACTAAGCTTGAGATTCTGTACTCACAGAGAGTTGAAAGAAAGATAGAGAGGGACACACCTAAGGTAGGTGGTCTTTTACATGGGCTGAACCCGGTTTACTTAGACCGTTCTTTGTTGGACCGGATTGCTTTTTATTTTCTATTTTTCTTTTATTTGGGTTTGCATCTATTAATTCTGATTTATACATATAATTATTAGTTAAATGAAATGTTAATTAAGTAATTTAATTGATTATTATTTTTAAAAAAATTGTGTTAGTTTAGATATTTTAAATATTATTAGATATGATAAAAGCTTTCTAAATTATTTTTTGAACGCAATTCCAATAATCAATTTAAATTGTAGGGTTTATCGTCAAACCCTACAATTTTATGGAAGGCTTGTGGTTCATAATTTGAGTTTTCATCGAACCCTATAACCTTATGAAAAGTGTCTATAAGAGGACTCCATTTTCAAACGTTATAAAAACAAATCACAAGTTTAACCGCACGACTAACCACTCAGACGTTCAAAATAAATACTTTTTATTTTCTGGATTTGTATAAGATATGTTATGAAGAAGGTAAACTTATGTTGTCTACTAAAAAAACCCTACAATTTTACAGAAGGTGTGTGATCTGAAATTTGAGTTTTTATCGAACACTATAATCTTATTGAAAGTGTCTATGAGAGGACTCGGTTCTCAAACTTTATGAAAACAAATCACGGGTCTAATCGCACGACTAACGACTCAGACAATCCAAATAAACACTTTAATATTCTAGATTTGTATAAAATATGTTAGGAAGATGGTAGGCCGTAGGCATATGTTCTCTAGTGAATTGAATTACGTCATATAAATGAAAAGGGCATGGAATTTGATAAAGACAAGTAGGAATATTAGAACCCTCTATATTTGTGTACCACTATACTACTCGTGAGAATTATTTAACTCTTTGTCTACCTCATGGTGTTGATGTCAATTTCAATGTTCAACTTGATGTGATGATATGAATTTAGGGAATAGTTGATATCGGTATCGTTACCGGACCATTACCCATCGTCCGATGTATGATCATACCACTATTTGATCACACTAACCACGTATCCAATGGTCATCCAATAACAATACCGGAGTGTGAAGTCCAGAAAGGTAGTATTCTCAATATGAATTTTGCACATTGTGGGGGTATGCACTAGAAAGCCAGGAGCCAATTGAATCCAAACCACAAGAAACTTTAAGCCCTTTTTTATATAAATTTGTGGTGAATGGAGGGCCTTGGTGGCGCCATAAATAATTAAATATGGTTGGTTCAATAATCCCAAATCACTCTCTTTCTGTTCTAACTTGAAAAGGAAGCATGATGATGAAGATGGTCCTTTTGTCTTTGCAAACTTTGTGCCCACCACTAAGAGAGGCTATGAATTTAGAACGTATATAATAGTATATACACACATTAGGCATGGCAATGAGGCGGGGCGGGGCGGGGAACTCATTCACCATATCCATCCCCGCCCCATCCCCGTTACGGAGATGACAGGAATTCTCCTTTCCCGCCCCAAAAGGGAATGTTGGAGTCCCGTCCCCACCCCGTTAATTTTATATAGACATAAATTAATTTAAGCATTACCAAACACAATAGTTAATTCTTGTCCACATAACAAACACTTAAATTAATTGTTTAAACATAATTAATTATACATAAATATGAGTTAGAGTTTGTTCTTGTTCAATTGTTTAGGGTGAGGGAAATTGGGAAAATATGGGTTTATATAAGTAGGATAATTGTGTAGTTATGTGAAATATAGGAGTATTAGTGAAAAGTGTACACACACACACACATATAATTTTTAATTTTATATATTATATACGAGATGGGGCGAGGCGAGGGAAAGGCATCACCCACCCCCGCCCCATCCCTGAGGACGGAAACCCCACCCCTGTCCCTATCCCCAAAAAAATCGGGGGGGGGGGGGGGGGGGGGGGGTGGTACGGGTCCCCAGAATTCCGGAAAACATTGCATGCCTAACACACATATATAAATAATTAGGTAGAAGGGAATTCTATTCAAATGTTTGTTTCATGGAAATGTAAATCTATTCATACAACAGGAATATATTATAAACACAAGGATAACACTTCAACATTCATCAACTAAATATTATAAGTCATAATGCTTTCAAAAGCAACATCCCAGAAAAGGTAGACAAGAAAAAAAAAATAGTTGATGAATCCCACTAGATCAGAGAAATTTGAAAAATCCAGCTTGGATTACAAATTTACAACATGGTTTCAAGCATAATCCTAGATAGAAATTATGCACTCTTTTTTTTTTTTTTTTAATCGAACAAGACACGAATTTAGGTATAAAAATTTTTTGTCAGTCTACTACACTGCTATATTCGTCCTAAAATAGTAGCTCACAGAGTCACGGTAGATTACAGAAAGGGTCAGAAGGGTATATATACTAAACTGAACATGAAGAAGGATGTAGATGCAGAAAGCAGAAGAGAAAGCATGTGAACTGGTTCTAGCCAGTGTAGCAACATTTAATAAGTAAAATCACTGAAATCCATTTCAAGTCATACAAACTTATAATACAAAAAGGAGAGTGAAGAACATCAGAGTTGTTTCCCAAAAGCCAATAATAAACACCAAATCTGCCCTCATAATAGATTCAGTTTATAATTTCTTCATATATGAATTTATTTTATGCTAGTGAGGGAAGAAGGCTGCAAGTGATGCAAAAACTTCAACTTGTAGAGAGAGAAGATTCTCAAATGGACAAGTTATACATTCTCAACAAAGAGAAATAATGAAGTACCAATCATTTAGCAGGAAAAAAAGAAGATAGATATATAGATGCTTGAACTCAAACAACATGATACCAAAATCCAATAGGAAGCATGTTATGGAGATTAACATTGTAAAAAATCATCATATCAGACGTTCAGTTTTGTTTAACACTTGATTACATATTGTTCTCCATCATTCAATTAAGATGGAGGACTAACTTTATTCTCTATCATTAACAGCATAAAGTCAGTAAACATCACTAATTTCAAGCAGTCAATGAAGCTCCAAACATTTCATCTCATATAATGACACTAAAGTATGCCCAGAGTTTCATAGATTACAGTAATGAAATCATTATCTAGCTCTGAGATCTACCAACAATATAATCACAATACCCTACCCAAAAAAAAAAAAAAAATTATATATATATAAGCACCAATCTTTTCATCCCAAAAATTCCAAAGAAAAGGAAGAAGATACAACTTTTCACTTTTCTTCTACTCTCAATTATTGTCTGTATTGAACCAATTTTTAAATATACTAAACACCAACCAAGAAGATCAAGAATAAATTATGCAAAAAAGTTGAACCTATTATATAAATCTTAACTTTAAGAACAATAAGAACCTATAAATGAATTTGATGGACTACAACTACAAACAATAAAACCCAAAATTCAGAATCTAAACCACATCACAAACTAAAAAGAAGTACATAATCATAAAATATCAGATTAAATAAATGCAAGAAAAAGATTCTTATATTCCCCACTGTAACCAGCTGTATATAATCCGTTACAACTTATTGCCATGATGAGCTTTATTTAACAACAATTTATATAGTTCTGAAACAACTAACCAGAGAAGCAAAAGCCACACTTCTCTTCATTTCCTGTAGCGATTGAATTACCCTCCCTATCCAATCCCAATCCCTTATTTAACTCCTACTTCTTAATTTTTTTATGCTTCTTCGTTCCCGGAACCTCCAATCTCCCAACAGAACATCCACACCTAGCACGAAAAATAAGCACTGCACGACCATTAGGTGGCGCCATCTTCTTGAGCTCTGCCTCTAATTCTTTATGGTGATCGCGAGGCAACTCAAACAATCCATTTTTAACACCACCACCACTTTCCTTAACCAAAGCATCAGAATTCTTGACACACTCCTCGGTCTCCAACTGAATATCAAATTCAGCAGCCTTCCTCAAGCCCTTACAATTAGGGTTCCCGCATTTCCTCGTTGTACACAAAATTACAATCCAAGCAGCTATGGCAACACAACAAACGCTAAGACCTATTGACGCATATATAATCGGGTTCCCAATCACCTCCTCTTTAACAAGATAAAACACAGGAACAAATACTTCAATTGATGTAAATATTACAACCTAAACATAAGGAAACAACAAGAAGCCACAAGCAGTTATAACAGCTAGCAAAATTACCACATCAACAACAGCTGATCTAAACCTTGGTCCTTCACAAGAGGGTGTTTTTGAACAATTTGGAGAACTGTGTATCTTTTTTTGCCTTGGTTTCGGATTAAAATCACTTGAATTCACACAATTCGCCATCTCTAAGCTTTGGTCAATGGAGTTGCGGACCGAGATTGAGTTCTGCATATAGACCATCGCAAATCAAAGATCGTTTTTTGATCAAAACCCAATACAATTCACCCAAAATCAAGAACACCCAGTTGATTAAACCCCGAAAACAGATCAAAAGTCAATTCAAATCGGATTATCACAAACGGTATCAATCTGGGCCACAAACAGATCAAAACAAATCAAAACAACTTTTATCTTTTGAAGCTCATATTAGAAAGCCAGCTTCAGAGAACATGAAGAAACAGAGAGGACAAGAGAAACACATTTTTTTTTTTTTTAACATATAATTTGGTTTTTATTGATTAAAGATCGCTGGCTTTGATTAATTTATATGGAGAGGGTCAGACGCACACGCCAAGAAATGAAGAAGCCACTTGTGCTGCATGAAAAATTTTTCTATGGGCTCATTCATGGGCTTTTGGATTTTTGGGTTTCTTTCCATGATGGAGTGTTACTATTTAACCCCCATCAATTTTTTTTCTAAACACCAAATATTAAATTAAAATAATTGAATAAAATTAAACATACACTTTATTCCAATATTAGCCTTATTTTATCTTAACTTTCATACCTATAATTCTAAATAACATCAAAGGCAAATAAATTTTGACATAAAAAAAAAAAAAAAAAAAAAACCCACCCCAAACCAAACAAATTCCGATAAGCAATCAGATTATGTCTTTAATATCGTATCTTTCTTTTTTAATCGAGGGGTAGTTTATAAGCAACCAGTTTCTTCACGTCAATAATATTTTACGTATCCATCATGATTTTTTGTTCTTGTTTTAAACAAAATTTGTTAATGTTGAAATTTAATATTATTTAGAACTTTATTAAAGATTTGACAAGAAGAAGATAACAGTCTTTTTGGAATATAATATAATTCAATAATTTTTACTTAATGCGGGGCTCACAAAGATATTTAATAGGGCTAGAAGATGAAACCACCAAAATTATCAATACCCTTTAAAGGTTGTAAAACTAAGGTCAATAATAAGGGGAAACGACTTACACCTATCTAAGGTTTGGCAAAATGACGATTGGTACTCAAAAGGTTTCAAAACCACAAACAGGAACCTTTCGTTAGTGAAAAGACTAGAATGCCCTTTGAGAAATATTAGTCTATTTTTTTAATTATTTTTAAACCCTTTAAGTTTATTAATTCCATCAAATAACCTTATAAAAAGTTTAAAAATTAACAAAAACACCCCCACCCACCCATACTTGCCAGATTCCGGTGGCCACCGTCGGTGGTAGCCGGAATCTGTCATAACGGTCTACGCCACCACTGGAAATAGCTAGTAATTCATCGATCTGGCCTTTTCCGACCAGATTAACGGCCAGATCTAGCCGTCGACGGCAGCAACACTGCGACGGCCAAAGATCTGGCCATCGTTGACAGTCAACGACGGCCATTTCTTTAGCCATCAGTTTCTAGCCAGATCTGGCCTTTTCCGACCAGATCTGTGAATTACCAGCCATTTACAGTGGTGGCGTAGACCATTGTGATAAATTCCGGCTACCACCGGCGGTGGCCGTCGGAATCTGGCAAGTATGGGTGGGTGAGGGTGTTTTTGTTAATTTTTAAACTTTTTTCTGGGGGTATTTGATGGAATTAATAAACTTAAGGGGTCTAAAAGTAATTAAAAAAATAGACTAATATTTCTCAAAGGGCATTCTAGTCTTTTCACTAACAAAAGGTATCTGTTTATCGTTTTGAAACCTTTTGGATATCAATCTATCATTTTACCGAACCTTGGGTAAGTATAACTCATCCGGCCTCAATAATAAATATGTTAGAACCGGACACTTACCACCAAACCAAAAGCTATGCCTATCAACAGAGACGTAACATTATTTCTTTTAACCATCAACCTTGCACTCACGGTTCGAGGTTATTGGACCCATTGACTTATGCCATTACCAGATACTGACCCACCGAGCCAACAAAGTGAACCCTTATAGATTAATGAAATCACACGAGTATAATAAGTTTGTTGAAAGAGGTTATTAATTGTGATCAATTAACGGTTTCCACTTAAAAGAAATTAAAAAAAAAAAAAAGTAAATGTTATAACAATGTCATGCACTAGCTAACTTTTTATATTATCATTCTGATGATTTGGTTTAACAGATAAAAGTTAATTGAGTTCTTATATGCACTATCAGTGATTAATTTCGAGGGTGTCATTGTTAGTTTTTGAAACATGTGGGAGTTCACTGTTTTTAACCTTATTCGATTTAAAAATCTAATGTAATTAAAATTTAGGTAATCTTTCGTTTAATAAGGAGAATGCAATATTTTGGGCTTTTTTTGTTTTCGCTCTGTGAGATGGAGTCGAATTAAACCCATTTATTTCATTCAAAAATTATTAAGAAACCCCCTAATTAAAAAAAAAAAATCTTGTAAAATCTGTTAAACAAGATCGTATAAAATTATAAAAACCCCTAGATATGAGATATTAAATACTTTATAAACAAAATAGATGAACTTAATACTAAGAGATCACACATAAGAAAAAAATGAAATAAACCCTTAATCTCATATACCCCTTTTAAATCAATCAATTTGAATCGTGGTCAAAGTTCTCGGAAACTAAATAAAACTTTTATTAAAGATTTTATATATTTTATAGAGGATTTTATCATAATTATCATAAATTTGGTTATTCATTGGGTTACATTAGTTGCGTCCATGATTTACTTAGAAGACTGCAACGATGTGTTGCTGTGGGATAACTTTTCTTGAAGATTAATTGAGATATGCGTAACTTGATCGAACAGCTCATTTAAAAAAAAAAATTAATTTGTGTTGTGTAAAAGTATGGACATGTGAGGTGTTGGGACACGTGTAAATGTTGTATTATTAATAAAAAAAAAATCACAACATGATCTAAGATTCCTTTATGAACTTATATTTAATTGTTAAATGTGTAATCCAATCTATTAGATCCTCTTTTAATTAACAACGAGTTAATTATAATAATTCCCTTAAGATTCGATTAGATAACAAAACCCACAAAAAGTTTATTAAACAACGAAATCTATTTACAGTCATATTTTAAGTATTAAAATAAACGGTTGAAGGATAATTATGTAATTTCCAATGGTTCACTAATCATTTATTAACTTTTAGAAACTTTAAGAGAATTTATTCAATTAATCAAATCTCAGGGAGGTCTTATAAATTTGATTTTCAAAATAAAAAATTAGATTAAAAGTGAAGGGGAATAAAGGGAAGTAGAATAATGGAATCAAAGATGAAAGAACAATTCTAGTATTTTATGTGGGTGTTGTTGCTTTCGCTTGTAAAACCATTAAAATTTGTTGCCAAAAACTAAGATAAGTTGCGTAATGTAAATGTTAAAGAGAAAATAAAGGCAAAATGAGCAAAGTTTTTGACTTTAAAATTTTATCTTATTTAAAACCGTGTTTGGTTAGTCAAGAATTAAATTAATCAAGATTATGACATGTTTGAAAATTTTAATTGTTATACGCTTGAAGATATTTTTTTTTCCCAAGTTTCAACGCCATGATGCTTGCCAAGACGAAGAGTCAATCCTTCACCTCCCACGTTTTCATACGCGTAAACGAGGTCGAGCATGCGATTCTTCGTCGTTCAGTTGGGAAAAAAAATTCTCGGAGTCGGATGTCATGCATACTTTTAGGTTTATAATGTTCGAATGTTTATAAAGTTATTGAGATTAGTGTGTATACATCCATTTAGTCATACCATGTTGTTGAAATTTCCTGAATATTTTGTAATCTTCTTATTTTTTTCATATTTATGATACTCAGAGTATTCTTGATATTATGTAATCCTCTAATTATGTCAGTATATTGTGTAATCTGTAACTAATATAATTAGGAGATTTATAGATTGTATAATCCCTATACAATGTGTTTGTCTATTAAAAATTATTGTGATCGGAGAGATGTATGTATACTATCGCATTAAAAACTTTCTCTTCCAACTTATTAGCCGATTTCCTTCTTTGCAAGCAAACAAACCCAATGAAAATTTGAGTTAATATTTTTATATTGACAACATGATTTTAATTTATGTATAAGACATTTTAACTGGGACTTAATATACAAACAATCTATCTATCTATATGTATATATTAATCTCGATGTTGAGAGGATATTTTATTATAATTCATTAAATAAGCATAAAATGAAGACAAATAAAAATAATATATAATTATCCGTAGGTGGTCGGATTAAGCAATAGGGACTCTTGAATATATTACTCAAGAAGTTTTGAGTTTGAATCCCCTCGGTTACTAATAAAGATGGTCATTAGAGGGTTTACTTGGTCATTAACTTTACGGCTTGAGGGATTAATCAAGATGCACGTAACTAGCTCAGTCACCCCAATAATAATAATAATAATAATAATAATAATAATAATAATAATAAATCTCTCAAATGTATTGAATAAGATTCTAATGGAAGAGATTAATGGTGAGAAAGAGAGTGAAGAAAGCGACTACCACTTTGATTTCTCCACTTAAAAAACGAAAAACAAATTTAAAAATCAAATCGCTTTTGTCTTTACTATAAGACTAATTAAAGTGGTTCAACCAATAATGTGATTATAGATCATCGACTAAAAGTAAACTCAGAGTTTTTGGCACTTTCATTTTTTCAATTTTCTTGTGTTTTCATTCTTTTAATTCAACAATAATATTAATAATATATTGAGTTTCGACTACTTTTTCAAGTCCTTGGAGAGGTCTATTACTTCATAAGAAAAGAAATTGAATGCCATATTTCAAAGGCAGGAAATATGTCTTAATCAACCTTTACTCCTTAATCTTCTCCTTCAAAGTCTCCATAGACTTAAATTCTCAAATACGAAGGATTTGCCAGTTTATTACGTTGTCTAAGAAAGCTTTAGTTTAGTTTTAACACTTGTTACAGGATTATCTATCCAAATCCTCATATGACGGATGTCTTTCGCTAGAGAGTCTTACACTAAATTTTAAAAGGTCTTTAACAGAAATGATAGTCTATGAGTTTGGAATGAACAAACACAATGGTCCTGCTCTGATTGGGAATTTAGCATTGAAGGTCACAACCTAATAACGACATATGTACCTCTTATACGATGTTCTATGGGTATAATTCAAATACTGAAATACCCTAGTGAGATATGTAGTACTAACTTGAGTATCGCAAGGGACACGCCAACAAAGACCCTTGTTGTCCCCTTGTTAAGGCTTGTTTACTCATTTTGTAAGTACTAAAGCTCCATCCTCAAGTCCACGCTCGTCTTTTCATTCAATACAAACTCACAATTTGAGCA